AATGAACAAAATTGTAATAGAAAGTCCTTATCCATCAATAATTACTAGAATGTAAAAAGATTAAATTTGTGATAAAAAATGTAGTGTCTGAATGGATAAGAAACAACAAGACTACATGCTGCCTACAAACGATTGACTTCACTTTTAAGGACACACATGGACAGAAAGGAAATGAGGAGGAGAGGCATTTCATGCAAATGGAAAACAAAAAAACGGGGGTAGTTACACTTATATCAGACAAAATAGACTTTAAATAAAAAACTGTAAAAAGAGACAAAAAATTATTATATAATGATAAAAATGTCAGTACATCAAGAAGAAATAAAAAATAATAAATTTATACCCAACATAAAAGCACCTGAATAAATGAAGTAAAATTAATAGATCTGAAAGCAGAGCTAGGCTGCAATACAATACTAGTAGGGAACGTTACATCTCCACTTTCTGCAATGGACAGATTATCCAGACAGAAATAAGAAAACGCTGAATTTGAACCACATGTTCAGAACATATGGGCCTAACACGCATATATAGAACATTCCATCCAGCAGCAACAGAATACACATTCTTCTCAAATGCACATGGAACATTTCCAGGATAGATCATACCTTAGATCATGAAACAAGTCTTAACAAATTTAGGATTTGAATCATAACTTTTTTGCTGTATCTTTTCTGACCACAATTATACAAATAATATCTAGTATCATTTCTGACTGTAGTATAAAACTAGAAATCAATAGCAGGAGAAATCTTGAAAAAGTAACAAACATGTGGAAATGAAACAACATGTTCCTGAACAAAGCCGATCATCAACAATGAAAGAGAAATTAAAACATGTCTTGAGACAAAAATGAAAACACAATATACAGTACTTATAGGTTGCAGCAAAAGCAGTTCTAACAGGAAAATTTGTAGGACTAAATGGTTACATCAAGAAACAAAAGAAAGCTCTCAAATAAATAATGTTACACATCAAGGAACTAGAAAAAGAAGTACAAATTGAGTCTAATGTTAGTAGAAGAAAGAAAATCAACATCAGAGCAGAAATAACAGGAATAGAGACTAGAAAAATGATTAAAAGAATAATAAAACTAAAAGCTAAGTTTTTAAAAAGATAAAATCAACAAATCTTTAGCTAGACTAAGGAAAAGAAGAGTCAAATAAGCAAAATCAAAAAGTAAACAGGAGATATTAAATTGATAACCACAGAAACACAAAGAATAAAATACTATGAACAATTTTATGCCAAACTGTTTAATAACATACAGAAATGTATACATTCCTAAAATGTATAACCTACCAAGACAGAATCATGAAGAAACAGAATATCTGCAAAGACCAATTATGAATAAGGAGATGGAATCACTAATGTAAAAGTCTCCAATTAAAGAAAATTCCAGCACTGAATAGCTTCATAGTTGAATTCTACCAAACACTTAAGGAATAACTCATGTTAATCCTTCTCAAACTCTTCCAAAAAATAAAAGAGGAGGAAATACTTTCAATCTCATTTTATAAGGCCAGAATTACCCTGATTCTACAGCCAGATAAGGATGCTACAAGAAAATAAAATTATAGCCCAATATCCCTGATAAATATAGATGCGAAAATCCTCAACAAAACACTAGTGAACCATATTCAATAGCACTATGAAACAATAATTCATTATGATCAAGTAGAATTTATCCCTGGAATGAAAGAATATTTTAACATATGCAAATTACTAAATGAGGTACACCACACACTACAGAATAATGGACAAAACCCATATTATCATCTTAATAGACACAGAAAAAGCATCTGATAAAATTTAACATCCATACATGGTATGAGCTCTCAACCAACAAAGTAGGTATCGGAGTGATGTACCTCAAAACAATAAAGACCGTAATTGAAAAGTCCACAGATAATATTACCTCAACAGTGAAAAATGGAAAGCTTTGTCTCTAACATCAGGAACAACACAAGAAAGCCCACTATCACCACATCTATTGAGCATACAAATCAGGCAAGAAAGAGAAATAAAAGGTATTCAAATAGAAAATAAGTAAAACTGTTTTTCCATCCTACAACTTTACAAAATTCATTTATTGTTTCTAACAATTTTTCAGTGGAGTGTTTGGGGGATTTCTGTATGCAAGATTATGTTGTCACACATAATCATATGTAATTAACATTTATTGAAAACTACAAAATGCTTATGAAGAAAACACAGATAAATTAATAGATCTGAAGTAAAATTAATAGATCTGAAAGTAGAGCTAGGCTGCAATACAATGCTAGTAGGAAACTTAACTCCACTTTCGGCAATGGACAGATTATCCAGACAGAAATAAGAAAACACTGGATTTGAACCACGCCTTCAGAACATATGGGCCTAACACACATATACAGAACATTCCATGAGAAGTTTTCAGTTTGAGAAAGATATCTCACATTAATAAATTGGAAGAATTAATATTGTTAAAATGTCCATACTACACAAAGTAATCTACAGATTAAATGTAATCTCTATTCAAATGGTCTTTTTCACAAAAAAGAAACAAAACCCTTACAATTTATATAAATCTATAAAAGAGTTTGAATAGCCTAAACAATGTTAAATATAAAGGACAAAGCTGCAGGAACTGCACTATCTGACTACAAAATGTATTTCAAAGCCATAGTAATCAAAACATTTGATACTGTCCAAAACAAAAATAAAACAAAACAAAGCAATAAAACAGACACATCAACCAGTTGAACAGAACAGAGAACTTTGAAATAAACCCATGCATACATTATGCTCTGTTAATTTTTGACAAAGATGTTAGGAATACACAATGGAAAACTGACAGTGTCTTCATTCACACACAGAAGAATTAAATTAGACCCTTACTTTACACCACACACAAAAATAAACTTAAAATGGTTAAATACTTTAATGTAAGATCTAAAACTATAAAGTTACTGGAAGAAAACATAGGGAAACATCTTCATAACATTGTTCTGGGTAATGATTTTTTGGATTTAATCCTGAGAGACAATAAAAGCAAAAATAGACAAACGGGGTCATGTCAAACTAGAAATCTGCACAGCAAAGAAACAATGAACAGGGTGAAGAGAAAACCTATGGACTGGGAGGAAATATTTGTAAACCATATATCTGATAAGTTATATATCTTTATATATACATATTTTGGATATCCTTATATATCTAAAATATATAAGGAGCTCAAATAACTCAATAGAAAAAAAATCCCAAATAACCCAATTAAAAAGGGGCAAAATGCCTAAATAGGAATTTCTCTAAAGAGCATGTACATATGGCCAACAAGTATATAAAAAAGGATCAACACCTCTAATCATTGGGCAAACAAAAATTACAACCACATGAGATATTATCTCACAATTGTTATGATGACTATTATCAAAAAGAAAAAAGATGATAAGTGTTGGCAAGGTTAGGCAGAAAAGGATCTGGAGATATGAAGAATAGCTGGAATTTCTCAAAAAAGCAAAAATAGAATTACAATATGATCTAGCGATCCCTCTTCTAGCTATATATACAAAGGAAATGAAATCAGTATGTTGAAGAGTTATCTGCCCTCTTATATTCAGTGCAAAATTATTCACAATAACTAAGATGGAAGCAACCTTACTGCTGGTCAACATATAAACGAATAAAGAAATTGTGGGATAGGATACTATTCAGCCTTAAAAAAAGAGAAGAGAAATTTTCATTTGAGACAACATGAAGAAATCTAAAAGACATTATGCTAAGTAAGCCAGTTGCAAAGAGGCAAATTCTGTGTGATCTCACTCATAGATTAAATCTGAAATAAGCTGAACTCATAGAAGTAGAGAGTAGAATGATAGTTACCAGAGGATAGGGGTGGTAGAAATTAGTTTTCGAGATCTATTGCACAGCATAGTGACTACAGTTAATAATAATGTATTGCATATTTCAAAATTTCTAATAGGAATTTTCAAATGTTTTTCCATTTGTGTCATCTCTAATTTTTTTGAGCAGCGTTTTGTAGTTCTCCTTGTAGAGATCTTTTACATCTCTGGTTAGCTGTATTTTCAAGTATTTTATTTTATTTTTGGCACTTGTGAATGGGATTGCATTCCTGATTTGCCTGTCAGCTTGACTACTGTTGTTGTATAGAAATGCTAGTGATTTTTGCACATTGATATTGTACCCTGAGATTTTGCTGAACTTGTTTATCAGCTGAAGGAGCTTTTCCTAGATAGAGGACCATGTTATCTGCAAACAGGGATAGTTTGACTTCCTCTCTTTCCATTTGGACGACATTTATTTTTTTTCTCTTGCCTGATTGCTCTGGCCAGGACTTCCAATACTATATTGAATAGGAGTGGTAAAAGAGGGCATCCTTGTCTTGTGCAGGTTTTCAAGTAGAACATGCCCAACATTTGTTCATTCAGTATGATGTTGGTTGTGGGTTTGTCATAGATGGCTCTTATTATCTTGAGGTATGTTCCTTAGATACCTAGTTTATTGAGAGTTTTTAACAAAAAGGAGTGTTAAATTTTATCAGAAGCCTTTTCTACATTACTGAGATAATCATGTTGTTTTTGTCTTTAGTTCTGTTTATATGATGAATCATATTTGTTGATTTTTGTAAGTTGAACTAAACTTTTAGCTGAGTTCAGGTCCTGAATACCTTTGTTTGTTTTCTGCATTGATGATCTGCCTAATACTGTCAGTGGAAGAGTGGTAAAGTCTCCCACTGTTATTGTCTGCAACTCTTTGAAGGTAATAAGAACTTGTTTTATGAATCTAAGTGCTCTTGTGTTGGATGCATCTATATATTTAGGATGGTTGGATATTCTTGTTGAATTGAATCTTTTGCCCTTATGTAATGCCCTTCTTTGTTTTTTTTTTTTTCTTTGTTAGTTTAAAGTCTGTTTTGTCTGAAATTAGGATTGCAACCCATGATTTTTTTTCTGTTTTCCATTTGCTTGGTAGATTTTTCTTTATTCCTTCCTTTTGAGCCCATGTGTGTCATTGCATGTGAGACAGATCTCTTAAAGACAGCATACCAATTGCCTTGGTTCTTTATCCAGCTCTACATCCTGTACCTACCTGTTAATTGGGTCATGTAGCCTGTTTACATTCAAAGTAAGTATTGCTATATGCAGATTTGATCCTGTCATCATGATATTAGCTGGTTATTTTGCAGATTTGTTTAGGTGGTTGCTTTATAGTGTTCTTAGTCTCTGTATTTTAGTGTGTGTGTGTGTGTGTGTGTGTGTGTGTGTGTGTGTGTGTGTTTAATAGTGGCTGGTAATCGTCTTTCCTTTCCATATTTAGTGCTTTCTTCAGGAGCTCTTGTAAAGAAATTCTCCTTTCTTCAGGAGCTCTTGTAAAGTGGTAACAAATTTTCACGGCATTTCTTGTCTGAAAATGATCTTATTTCTCCTTTGCTTATGAACCTTAGTTTGGCTGGATATAAAATTTTGGGTTGGAGTTTTTTTAAATTTAAGAATGTTGAATATTAGCTCCTAATCTCTTCTGACTTGTAGAAGGGATCTTCTCCCAATCTCTTCTGATCCTTTCTGCTGATGGATCAGCTATTAGTCTGATGGGCTTCCCTTTATAGGTGATCTGCCCTTTCTGTCTAGCTGCCTTTAACATTTTTTCTTTCATTTCAATCTTAGAGAATCCAATGACTATCAGTTTTGGGGATTATCTTCTTGGGGAGTATCTTACTGGGGTCCTCTGCATTTTTTGAATTTAAATGTTGTCTTCTTTAGCTAGGTTGGGGACGTTCTCATGGATGATATCCAGCAATTTGTTTTCCAAGTTGCTTATAATCTCCCCATCTCTTTCAGAAACATGAATGAGTCATACATTTGGTCTTTTTACATAACCATGTTTCTCCCCATCTCTTTCAGGAACATAAATGAGTCATAGATTTGGTCTTTTTATATAACCATGTTTCTTAGAGGTTTGTTCGTTACCTTTCATTCTTCTTTCTCTATTCTTGTCTGACTGTCTTATTTCAGAAAGCCAGTCTTTAAGCTCTGAGATTTTTTTCCTCTGGTTGGTCTTTTCTGCTATTAATACTTGTGAACTCATTACAAAGTTCTTCTAGTGTGGTTTTCAGCTTTATAATGGCAGTTACATTCTTTTTATACTGGCTATTTTGTCTGTTAGCACCAGTATCATTTTATTATGCTTCTTAGTTTTCTTGGATTGAGTTTCATCATCTCTTGCATCTCAATGATCTTTCCTTCTGTTCATATTCTGAATCCTACTTCTGTTATTTTTGCCATCTCTGACCAGTTCAGAACACTTGGTGGAGAGGTAGTGCAGTCATTTGGAGGAAAGAAGGCCCTCTGGGTATTTTAATTGTTAGAGTTCTTGCGCAGGTTCTTTTATTTATCTTTGTGTGGTGGTAGTTCTTCAATCTTTGAAGTTCTGACCTTTGCTTGGGTTTCTTTTTTCTGTTAACCTGTTTGATGACCTTGAGGGTTTGATTGTGGCATAAAGTAGATTCAGCTGACTTGCTTCATTTATGGAATATTTTAGGGGGCAACACTCAGCTCCCAACTCCTGGAGTGTGTGCTCTAATTCTAGGGGTTTGTATCAGGCCCTGGCCTCATCCTCTGGCTCTTCAAGGTAAGGAATCTATTGTGCTGTGAAGGGCTGAGGTGCTTCTGGATTGATGTTCACTGCATTCATATGGGTGTGTCTTACTCCATTCTCACACTGCTATGAAAAAATACCCAAGACTGGGTAATTTATAAAGGAAAGATTCAAAGTTTAATTGACTCAAAGTTCTGCATGGCTGGGGAGGCCCCAGGAAACTCACAATCATGGTGGAAGGCAAAGAAGAAGCAGGCACCTTTTTCACAGGGCGGCAGGATGAAGTGAGTACAAGCAGGGAAAATGCCAGATGCCTATATGAAACCAACACATTTTGTGAGACTCACTTCTTAGCCCAAGAACAGCTTGGAGAAAACCACCCCCAAGATTCAATTACCTCCACCTAGTCCCGCCCTTCACACATGGAGATTCTAGAGATTACAGTTCAAGGTGAAATTTTGGTGGGGACACAGAGCCAAACCATATCATTCTATCCCTGGTCCCTCCAAAATCTCCAGTCCTTATATTTCAAAACACAACCATGTCCTTCCAGTAGTCTCCCAAAGTTTTAACTTATCCCAGCATTACTGCAAAAGTCCAAGCTCAAAGTCTTATCTGATACAATGTAAGTTCCTTCCATGTATGAGCCTGTAAAATCAAAAGTAAGTTAGTTGCTTTTTAGATACAAAGGAGGTACAGGCATTGGGTAAATACAGCCATTCCAAATGGGAGAAATAGGCCAAACAAAAGGGCTACAAGCCCCATGCAAGTCCAAAATCCAATAGGGCAGTCATTAAACCCTAAAGTTCCAAAATGATTTCCTTTGACTCCATGTCTGACATCCAAGTCATGCTGATGCAAGAGGTGGGCTCCCATGGCCTTGAAAAGCTTTACCTCGGTGGCTTTACGGGGTATAGCTCCCCTCCTGGCTGCTTTCATGGGCTGGCATTGAGTGTCTGTGGCTTTTCCAGGTGCACAATGCAGGTTGTTGGTGGATCTACCATTCTGCAATCTGAAGGTTGGTGACCCTATTCTCATAGCTCCACTAGGCAGTGCCCAGTGGGGACTCTTGTGTGGTAGCTCCAGCTCCGCATTTTTTTCAGCACTTCCCTGTAAGAGGTTCTCCACGTGGCTTCCATCCCTGAAGCAAACTTTGCTTGGACACCAGGCATTTCATACTCCTCTGAAATTTAGGTGGAGGTTCCCAAACCTCAATGCTTGACTTCTGTGTACTCACAGGACCAACAACACATGGAAGGTGCCAAGGCTTGAGGTTTACACCCTTGAAACAATGATATGAGATGTATACTGTCCCCTTTTAGCCATGGCTGGAGTAACTGGGAAGTAGGGCACCAAATCCTGAGGCTGCACACAGCAGAGGGGCCCTGGACCCAGCCCATGAAACCATTTTTCCCTCCAAAGCCTCTGGGCCTGTGATGAGAAGGACTGCCAGGAAAGTCTCTGACATGCCCTGGAGACATTTTCCCATTGTTTTGGCAATTAAGATTCAGCCCTTCGTTACTTACGCAAATTTCTGCAGCTGGCTTAAATTTCGTCTCAGAAAATGTTTTTTTTTTTTTTTTTCTGCCATATCATCAGGTTGCAAATTTTCAAAACTTTTATGCTCTGTCACCTCTTGAATGCTTTGCTGCTTAGAAATTTCTTCTGCCAGACACCCTAAATCATCTCTTTCAAGTTCAAAGTTCCACTGGTCTCTCAGGCAGGGGCAAAATGCCATCAGTCTCTTTGCTAAAGCATAACAAGGGTCACCATTTTTCCAGTTCTCAGGAAGTTTTTCATCTCCATCTGAGACCACCTCAGCCTAGACTTCATTTTCCATGTAATTATCAGCATTTTGGTTAAAGCCATTCAACAGGTCTCTATGAAGTTCCAAACCTTCCCACATCTTCCTGTCTTCTTCTGAGCCCTTCAAACTGTTCTACCCACTACCTGTTATCCAGTTCCAAAGTCACTTCCACATTTTCGGGTATTTTTATAGCAGCACCCCACTCTCTGCTGTACCAATTTACTGTATTAGTCCATTCTTACACTGCTGTGAAGTAATATCTGAGAGTGGGTAATTTATTAAGGAAGGAGATTAAATTGCCTCACAGTTCCACATGGCTAGGGTGGCCTCAGGAATCTTACAATCATGGTGGAAGGCAAAGGAGTAGCAGGTACCTTCTTCACAGGGCAGCAGGATAGAGTGAGTACAAGCAGGGTAAATGCCAGGCATTTATAAAACCGTCAGATCTCGTGAAAGACTCACTCATTATCATGAGAACAGCATGGGGAAACCACTCCCATGATCCAATTACCTCCACCTGGTACCCCTCCACTTCACCCTGTTGACATATAGGGATTATAGGGATTACAATTCAAGGTAAGGTTTAGGTGGGGACACAGAGCCAAACCATATCAAGTGATCAAGTGGTATCAGCCAAACTGTTTTGTAGTGTAGTAGCATTAGGATCTGTCTTAATTCACACATGCCAGCAGCATAAAGTGGTTTGTAGTGTGATGGCATCAGGATCTGTCTTTTCTTTTTTTCTTTTTGAGACAGAGTCTCATTCTGTCACCCAGGCTAGAGTGCAGTGGCATGATCTTGGCTCACCGCAGCCTCCACCCCTCAAGTTCAAGTGATTCTCCAGCCCTCCTGAGTAGCTGGGATTAAAGGCACAGGCCACCACACCTGGCTATTTTTTTTTTGTATTTTTAGTAGAGATGGAGTTTTGCCAGGTTGGCCAGGCTGATCTTGAACTCCTGACCTCAGGTGATCTGCCCTTGGCCTCCCAAAGTGCTGGGATTACAGGCTTGAGCCACTATGTCTGGCCTAGGATCTGTCTTAATTCATACATGCCAGCAGCAGTGGCAGCAGCAGCATGTCAGCACTGTGGGGTGCACACTTGTCAGCTGTAGTAGGGTGTGGACATTCACCACAGTGACAGAAGCAGGATGGCTTGGGGAGGGTGGAGGACCCCTGATGCTTACTGTGCACATGGTTCTACTGGTGGTGGTGTTGGTAGGAAGGCAGGGCACTGGTAGGTGCAGTTCCGTTTGTGCTCTCTATGAGCCACAGACAGGGGTGGTTGCTCAGAGTAGAGGAGGGTCTGCTGTTCTCTGTGCCTAGATTCACTCCTGTGGCTGTTTGTGCAAGGGAATGGTGCTGGAGGGTGTAGTGCTGTCTGGCTCTGTGCCCACCAAGGTTCTGACTGCAATGCCCGTTTGGTGGGATGAGGGGAGATGAAGTGCATATCCCCACTGCAGCAGTGGCAAGATAGGGCATATGCACATGCACACTTGCAGATCCGGGAAGGCAAAAACTACCTGTGTGCACATGTGCCTGCAAAGTGGTTCAGGTGGTGGTTGGGGGGTTGCTGTGTGTCTGAGGGATGCCACAGTGTGGAGAGGGAGCAGGCAGGCTGGTGCATGACCATGGTGGCTGCCCTGCTGGAGCTTTCTGCCAGTTAGGCATGGTTTGCCAGTGCAGGAGCTATGATGTGGGCCCCAGGGCACTGGAGCTTGCCCAGCAGACCAAGGAGTGCTCAGGTCAGACCAGCCCTGTCCGATGGGCAAGATCACCTTGTATAGTTTAGGTCCTACAGTTCCCCTAGGGATAAAGTCTCCTATGGGAGCAAGTGAAGCCTGAGGGGATGGACATCTTTGGCTGTGTTCTATTCCAGATCCTTCTGTACCAATCCCTTTGGCCTACACATCGGCTGTTGTGCTGGTGCGTAGGCCAAAGGGATTGGTGTGCTATTCCCACCACTTCTCTAAGCAGCTCTTTCTGCCAACTCGCGTGTATATGGTGGTTGAGGAGTCTCCTGTGTCAGGATTCCTGAGGCCTGTGTTCAAAGCAGTTGTTCCTTGCCAGTTCAACTCACCCACTCCCCTAGAGTTGTTGGGAAATGGGAGTGAACCCCAGTGCATGGCAACCGCGTGCAGGTTCTTAGCTTCCTCTCACTTCAGCCCAGCTTCTGTGTCTTTCCTCTGTCCACTCTCAGTGCCTTCCTCCTGAAGATCTGTTATGGGTGTGCCAGTCATCTCAGTCCCTCAGTGGCAGCTGTTCCACCTGACTGTGTCTAGTAGGATGTCTTGACCAGCTAAGTCTTCATGCAAAATCTTTAAAATTTTTTTTTATGTAGTTGAATTTATTTTGCATTATAATTAGGAAAGTTTTTCCCCCATCACTTGTGTTTCTTATAATACTTTTATAATTTCTCTCCTTTTAAAATTTTCTACATTTGGATTTCTGATTTTTTTCAGAATTATATTACCATACAGACAGACTAAAATTTGGATCAAAGTTTAGACTTTCATTTTGTTGTATCTGCATATTGCCAATGTCATCACACTGTTTTAGCTATTATGATGTTTTTAGAATGTGTTTTATATGATAGTGCTGCTTTGCACAGCCCCATGCCTCAATAGCTTTCTTTTTTTCCTCTGAATTATGGATAATCATGAATTATTATTATTTTTGCTCATGTATATCTGATTGGTCTTGATTATTATTCTTGCCTATGTAGTCTTTAGTCAGTGGAATAATGGCCCAGTCTTTCAGTCCTCTGTCAGGATGATTCTAGGGCATCTTCCACTTCCCACATAGTTCTGAACAGGCTTATGCTCCAGTTGCCTACACTATTACTGTTCTCATTAACACTTGAATTATTGGTTGCTTTTCTCCCTTTTTGGTCCTTCCTCACTGTGCCTCCTCCAGTTGCCTTCCAAATAAAGTACAAGTCTTTCCCTAGAGGTCTGCTTTTGAGAAATCCAAACTAAGAAAGAGTCATTTTTGGATTTTGACCTAGATGTAAAAGATATCAAACTTTGTTACCCAAGTATTTTATACATTTGTGTGTGGTGGTAGGGAGAGAGAAAAGGAAGTAATGTCCTGTTCTAATTCAACTGTTCAGAATGTAACGTTTTATATTCTTCTCCTGATTATTTCCCCATGGCCCATATCTGCTCTTTATATTCTTTAGATTTGAAACAGTTCTGGAATGCTCTTGGGAAGAATTGATGTCATCTCCCAGGGTTTGAGTTGAAGTTCTCTCTTATCTATGTTTTCCATTAATTTAATTCCATCTGTTTTATAGTTTCCAGGATTTTCTCAAGCTTTTCATATACTACTGGCTTCCTCTCTGTTTTTCTTTCTTCAGTATCTGAATACATATGTGTGTATTTATATTGTTGAAGTAAAATTTATTTGGTGTATTTACTGGAGAAAATTTCAAAATACCTTACTCATTAATGAAGAAGCCAGTAATTAGATCATTTGAGGCAAATATAAAATAACCAGGAAGAAAATTAGCTTAGATACTTTCAGTTTCTAAGTAGGCACAGGCTGCTATTTCACTTCACATGGCCATAAAAATATCTCATGCTTTTTAATGGTAGGGAGGACTAAATTTGTGGAATGGATGAATTAGAGCTATTTTCTAGTTGCCAGATGTGAACCAGTAATTGGAAATAAGAAGTA